TGGTCGAAATTCAGTCTGATTTTTTTAACAATAGAAAAAATTATTTTGCAAGCTGCATTTGCATGAGGTATTATTAAGACAGTAAGCATTACAATAGGCAATACTTTGTATTTAATACACACATTCATATTTTTTAATTTAGCAGTTTCTTCCCATGCTATATCAATATTCAGATCTACAATTTCTTTCAAATCATCTACTTGATACACAGAAAATTCAATTTCCTCTTGATTAAAATATTTTTCATCAATAATGGATGGGAAGTATTCATCAAGTAAAGAACAGATGAAAATGAAATTTGAGTTCTCAAGTTGATGACAGCAGATTTAGCATGTTTTAGAAATGGATCACTTAGTGGAAATATAATCTGTTATATATGAACATGTAGTTACAAAAAAAAAAAAAAAAAAAGCTCACATAGAATCGAAAAATGATTTCACTTCACTTTCATTCAACTTGGCATTTTTTAAATATAATCTTGTTTCTGCACCAATCACTAAATTTTCATTTTCTTTTTCATCTTCTTTTCTGAAATGGAATAGATGTTAGAGTAACATCTTAATTTTCTTTGGAAATTACTGATGGTTTTACTAATCTAACAAATAAATTCATTAAAAATTCAACAAGTTCTCTTTTCAATTTATGTATATAAGAAGCTTGTTGTTGCAAATTAATATTTACTGTTATAAACAAAGGCAAAGTATTTTTCAAAGATAAGTACAATTTGGTGGTAGGTGACTGTAACATTTTTTTTTTTTTTTTTAATGTTTTGCAATCTCTTTCGTTCATTCTCACGGTTATCTGGTTGATCATCAAAAAATTAATCAGAGCATCCCACTCTTTCAAAATCCTTGTTATAGAGTCTAAGAGACAACCATCTTGTATTGCAGTATTTCAAATTTTATGAGATTTTGAATTCTGTCCCAAAATTTATTGAGCAACTTTGAAGCTGTGCTTCCGTTTCGAACTTTTCTCCAAATAAAAATATATGTCTATTGACAACATTTCGATTTCTGAGGCAATTAATTTTTCAGTAGCCTTTTTTGCAGCTCTATGCATGAGGTGGCATGGACAACCTTGGATGATTACATTTGGTTGATAGATTTTGATAAACAATGCTACACCTTTAAACTTTCCAATCATATTACTAGCATTATCTGAAGAAAATGATAAACAATTTTTCCATTCTAAACCTTTGCTTTAAAAAGTTTTTATTTCTACAATTAAAAATACCTTCTCCGGTATTATCCATGCATTCTAAAATAGAAATCAATGAAGTAATTATCACTCCCTTTTCTTTACTATGTTATAATCAAAGGGTATGGTTTGTTATCATTATTTCCATCAATATTTAAAGAAAATGATGTATTGCACACTGATTTTATAATATCGGCAACAGTACTTTCTGTAAGCGCTTTCACATTAGTAGCAGTTTTGGTATGGCAGCAACTAAATTTTTTGGCTATGGCAGAATCCGGAAACATTGCTTTGAAAAGCTGCTTGGAATGATCCAAAATGGAAATCGATAGATTATGTTCAATTAAAAATCAAACAAAATAGCATTTGGCTTTTATAACACATGTTTAATCAACTTTTATCAAATATTCGTTATTTCTTAAGATTTTACAGTGCCATGTTCTTTATGCTTTTGAGGAAAAAACATGCCATTTACGGACACATTTTCCACCATGTGCAATTGAGAAGTCCTTGTTACATACACTGGAATGTGCGTGGCTCGCAGAAATTTTGGATGCTTTAATGCATGGAAATTTTCAAGAACATATATCTTTAAATTTCTGCTTTGATAATTTTAGCTTCTTTGTTCGAGGTAGCATAACTAACAAAAAGCTTCCAGCTGAATCACAGCTCAGAAGACACAAGCTGTAATCTAAAAACTGAAGCTGAAGGCAGGCTAAACAAGCCCTATACAGTAGCAACGAATCTGGGAGTGCAGGGGAACTATTGAGAAGTGATTAACGATTGGAGTTACTGATCTACGATTGACTATTTTTCAAAATAAGCAACATCTGATATATGATGGCACGAGTATTCAGCCAATCATCGGATGAATTAGTTGGCTCCATTTTGCATACTGGTTCTCCTACCATGTTTCTGCAAAATCCGTAGTTGTTTCCATACTTTTCCCAGCTCATAGTTTTTTATGAATTTCCGTAGACTCCGTAGTAGTTGGGAGTCTATGAAGCAAATACAAACTTATGGATAAAAATTAATTACAGTCATAATGATCATACCAATTAATACCACTAAATTTATGTTGATTCAAAAATCAGCAACATTTTTCAAAATTAATAAATCCGTTTGGTATTATAATACAATTATTCAAGAAAGGCGTAAGGGCCAAGAAATTTTATTATGCAATTTTTTCCTGTTATAATTAGTTTCCATACATAACACTTCATTCATAAAATAACATAAAATATACCTCATAATACATGCTGACTATGGCAGCCATGATAACTGTGCTCTGCCCAAGGACAAGCAAACACGCAGAAATAGCATTTCTGTAAGAAATACTCATGCATAATATCACATATTTTTTCACATAAAAAATTATGGTAGATGTCTCCATATCCTTCACACCAGGCCAACCCAAAATCAAAAAGAACAGGATTTCAAATCTGGAGATCTATGTGATCACACATTGAAAGTGACAATTTTTTTGCTCCCTATTTTAGCCAAAAGTTAGAAAGGAAAAGCAGCTAAAAATAATACTCCTTCCTGTATGAATGTCACAAAATCCAATGTTTACCTTTTTTCAAGGTCAGGAATAATATTTTGTTAATACACAATATAATACCGACTTCTGGCAATAACCGTTCGAAAGCAAAGCCATCTAGAAAAATAAAGTACAATTCCAACCAGTGAATACAACTGCAACTAAAAATCTACATCATAAATGATTTTTTTTTAAAATGTGCAATTATATGGTAACTTTGTTATATTATTCTATGTCTGTTTGTTATCCTATGCCTACATAGAATACAATTTTTTAAAAAATTTACTGACGCTTTAGATCATCCAGTGTTTGCCAGGTGTAGAAGTATGAAATGTGGATACTTTTTTCTACAAAAACCCATTAAATTCGGAAGAATGATAAAAAGTTCTTTACTCAAATTATGCTCCATCACTTGTTATACATTTTTTCCATCTTTCGGGCTTCTGCACTTTGTATATGCAATTTCACAAATTCCTCTTAATTCTCTAAATTATCATTGAACATCTAATTTTGGCAAAGTAGAAACTACTTTATTTCTACAATCATTTCAACCTTAATTTATATATTTGTTTATGCTGAGATTTAAATACACCCATGGACAAAAAAAAATTAGCACACCAAGAAGGGGTTGTCAAAATAAAACAAAATTTTACATACGTAATGACTACTTTGATATAAGTAAATGATAAGAAAATTAAAGAAAAAGGATAATTTATTTCAGAGAAAAAGACAAAAGAACGGAGGAGTTAATACTCCGTTGGACCCCCTCTAGTGCGAATGCACAATGCGATACGATCGGGCATTGAGTCATACAAGTTCTGTATGTCTTGAGACATTTTGTTTCATATTTGCTGTAACCTTGTCTCTAGTTCATTCAAACTCATGGGATGCCCAACTTGTCGTCCCAAATGATCCCAGATATGCTTGATTGGAGCCATAAAATGACTAATCGTTCATGCAACAACTTCTGGAAACCAAGGAATAAACAAAGCCTTAAAGTTATCATGAGAATCACCAAGGATGAGCAACAAGCGCATATTTCTATTACTGCATGCTTAGACTTTTGACCAAATTTCCTGATGCTAAACTGTCATAATTCTTTTCCTTAACATAAAATAATGTAACTAGATTTTGAGGGTATAATTATGTAACAGCTATGTAATGTCTAAAACATCAGACTAACTTAAATAAATTAAATACATATGATATAGAACAAACATAAGAATATAATAAAACAGAATTTTGAAAAAGTGGGGGGGAAAACTTAATTTTTTTCATATAAATTTAAACTCAAATTCAGTTTTATGATATTGTAGCAAAAATTGCTCCTTTCAACTGAGCCTATCATAACTTAGTGGAGAAGATGCAGGACTCAAAACCCCAGGTTCGAAACCTCTCAAAGGCAAGATGCCTGATAATTGGTTTTTACGTAAATTTCCTTCTTATTAATCTGTTTTCTTTATGTTCCAGAACATTCTCAGTCTGGAATATTCCAGCATGTTCATCAGCTGTATATAAGTAGTTCTTCATTCAGTTCGAAATAATAAAGTCTTGAGCACTTGTCTGCTCATTTGTACAATCTCTTCATCTACGTGACAGTATAGAGACAAACATCTCCTTTAAAGTCTGAATTTTACAAGGCCATCATTTGTAACATCTGAATTTTCAAAGGTCATCATTTTAACCCTTTGACTACTAACGGGACATAAAAAATTACTGCTGGGTTAAAAAGTGCTTAAAATCTCCTGAATGATGGAGATCATCTTCCAATAGTTGGAAAATCAAGACGCCACTGTGCTCGTTGTACACAAATGAACATAGAGAAAGAACAAATACGAGTTGCCCAATGCATAATATTGGGTTACGCAAAGAATGCTTTACCCTGTACCATATGATGTAAATCTATTTCACACAATAAATTTTTCCAGAATAATAGGTGAGCTTCTAGTAAGTCAATCGCTACATGTAGGACATATGTACCCCACCATTAACTACAGCTGGGACATGTGTGTGGCTTTGGGTTGAAAACCATTCGTCAAAAAAATCCCAAATGCTAAATTTATCTTATTTGTGACATATTTTGTTCACCTGGATAGAAAACAGAGTATGAAAAACAATTTTTTTTAAATTTGTAGTCAAAGGATTAAGCCCATAATCAATAGTCATCGACTAATGAACGTAGTTAAAAGAATTGACTTGTCCACCATATTCTTTTATGAGTCAAAAAATAAACTCCTAATTTTGATAACATAAAAACATTTACTTTCATATTAGTTTCCTTTGCCATCCTCTCAGCTTTCCGTTGACTCATTTGAGCTCTTCGGACCATGTTATTTGCTTCCTAGAAAATATTAAGCATAAAAATGATAAATGATCTAAAGAGTATATAGTAAAAAATGAAAAATGCAATTAAAAGTACAAATATGCAGAAAATGATCAGAATCAGAAAATACTCTGAAGAGTATATAGTAAAAAACAAAAGGCAATTAAAAAGACAAGTCATGCACATTAAAATTTATCAATTTAATACAGCAAGCTATGTTATGAAAGTGAAATCCTCTAATAACCTATCTACCAGTAAATATTTGGACACCTATGGATGTGCCAATATCTGCAGTAATGACATATATCATGCCCTCTGCCATTAAATATCATGTAGGAAACAACACAAGCATTAGTCACATGCATGATCTCATGAAGTGCAGAGTTACTTGATTTCGAGAAAGGTGTAATTATCGGGTATCGCAGAAATTGCCGATCTTTAACCCTCTAAGCGACAAGGCCGTATATATACGGCGTATGTATTCTAGTGGTATGTATGTATTCTAGTGGCAAGGCCATATATATACGGCCTTGCCACTAGAATACATTTTGTGATGTCTGTAAGAACGTATACCTACATATTAAAATATGTCAAAGAAATTAAGGGAATATATCAAAAGTACACAAATGCAGGTATGTAATACCTGGAGAGGTTTTAGATTAAAATAAAAAAAAAACACAAAAGATTAAAATATGTCATATGTGCATATTAAAATATGTCAAAGAAATTAAGGCAATATATCAAAAGTACACAAATGCAGGTATGTAATACCTGGAGAGGATTTAGATTAAAATAAAAAAATAGTTTGTTCTCATGGTAGTTTTGGGAAATTAGTGCTTTCTTAGCGAAAACCCTGGCCGCTTGGATGTTTAACGTATATCTAGCGAGTTGAATTACCCTAAATCGTCAGTGACCTATGTGAAAGGTGAGTGGTAATTTTCGGAATGTGCCCCAAGTCGGTGGACCCATGAAATTGGGAGCTAGAGACTGATGGCTGCTTTTACAGAAATTAAAAATCATATCTAACCAATAGCTCACATACTCCAGGAATTTCAACAGGCATCCAGGAGTGTTGTTTCATTAATACATCCTTAAGAAGCACATCTGCTTGGTTTTCATGGTCATGCTGCTGCCCATAATCCTTTGATAGCTGTCCAACTACACTGCTTGGTAAATGTGACATAATGTACATTGACAGTGGACCATCAATCAGTGAAAACAAGTTCTCTTGGACTGACAAATCTAGGTCCACCCTCTATCATTCTTCCTCTATCTATGGGGTCTGGATCCAGTATGTGCCTGGAGAATGTGTCCTGCCAGAACACATTCTGCCCACCGTAAAATTCAGTGGAGGTGGAATTTCGGTCTAGAGGTTTTTCTCCTGGTATGGGGGGACTGGAATCCTTGTTTCAAATTCATATAAGCTCAATGCTGACACCTACTGCACTACTTTGGATGAGCGTGCTTCAATTCATTGCATGTTGTGGCAGTTTTACAGGTTGAACACATTACTTTCAGGATGAAAACAGCAACCATCATCTAACATCAATCCAACATCCAACAACCATCTAACATCGGTATCATCCAACAACCATCTAACATCAGTGGAAGCACTTGCATGTCTTCCCCATTCTCAGTGGAAATAAATATCAATTGCCATCATAAAAGAACCTGTGAAAGAGAGCCCCGGAGAGTTGACGCTGCAGTTGCTGCTCATGGATGCTCTACCAACTAATGTATATGAATAAATTTTGTTTTTCTTCTTTAACGTAGGTGTCCAAATACTTAGTGCTAGATAATGTATAAGCCATATAAAATGGAACAGAATTTGTTTTCACTGATTAGAAACATTTTAGCAATTTTCAACAAACTCAGGAATTTGTTTTTACGGATGAGAAACTTATATACCATTCTGAAAAACTTCAATAAAATCATAATGAAAAGAATTTGGTTGTTGGATGCTCCTACCATAGTGAATTAAATCAACCTTCTACCATAGTGAATTAAATCATCGACCTTAATCCAGAATGCTTTAGGAAGGGATATATACAGGGTGCCCACTAAAGTCTGGTACCACCTGTTTAACTGCCGAACAGCTGCAAATATAATCATAAAAGTGGTGTCTAGGTATAATACAGTGGCTATGCGTTACTAGATAAGATAGCTTAGAGAGCCACCAGGTGAGAAAATTGCTAACGGTTTTGTAACAGGCTAATCGGCCCACTATTTTACCAGGGTATGTTAACAGTTGCACGATGTTCAGAATTTCTGCAAGACATAATACACGATTTTGTCGAGAACCTGCCATTGCTTCAACTCCGGAACGGATAGTTCCAATATGACGGTGCACCAGCGCACAAGATATCACAAGTGAAGCAGTACTCGATTAAGGAACATATCATACGTACACCTTTGAAGATACTTTGCAGCCTTGGTCAAAAAACCACTTTGGTAATCAAAAGTGGATCTTCAAACAAGGTTGTAACTAGCACATAAAGATAAAGATACTCAAGAATGGTACAAAATAAATTTTCTGAACTTTCTGAACAGCAAAAGCACGATAACCTTACTACCCTGATTTTTAATTTATTCTTCAAACTTACTCTAGTAAACTTAGTAGATTAAATAAAACAGTTTCTCTTAGAGACCAGGATTTGTATTTAAGCCCCACGAAAAGCTTAAAAAATTCATTAGATAAACAATAAAAAACCTTGGCAATTGTTTACAACTCCGGAAGTCAAAAGAAGCCACTTTGATGATCATGATCTTTGATAATGTTGCAAATATGCTTCACGAAGTTAATTATTTTTAATGCTTTAAAGATTAGTTGAGATACTGCAAATAATGTTAAAATTGCAGACTTATATGTCTAAATTATTTCTTGCCACTTTGCAAAAAAAAAAAATTTTTTTTTAAATAGTAACAATATTTCTAAATTTATTTACAACAGAAAATGGTACACAAAAATACTGGACATTACATATTAAAAAATGTACCAAATTTTAATTTCTATTTTATAAACACAATAGACAATACAATAACCAGATTTCAAAGATACATATAAATAATACATTATAGAAAATATATAAAACCTTAATTTCTTTTTCATAAATAATGCATTCAATTTTTGTTAATACTGCTTGCTTATGGTAGACATTTTAAATAACAATTTTAAAATAAAAGCTTAGAAAAGTTTACCATAAATAAAGGACACATGCATTTGGAGAATGAGTACCAATCTTTCAAAAAGATTTAATTTTCAAAAGAAAAATAGCTAATCTTTACTTCAATTCCAACTGGATTTTTTAAACCTTCATGTGTTGCCATATATTTATTTCCTTAACACTAAAAGCAAGCATTCAGCTTTATGTCTTTTTAATTTCACAGTAAACTGATTTTTGTCCACATACGGACCTTGCTACAGTCCAATCGAGATTAATAATAAATCTCCAGCCATATTATGGATCTGATAATAAACATAAGTGCTCACAATGAATTTGACTCTACTGAACACATAAATGATTGTACAGTACTTCCTTGTGGGTCGTTTTAACTTTAAATACAAAAATTTTGCCTGGGATGAAACTACAGACCTCACATTATATAAAACCTAAAAAAAATTGAATCATCTGCAACTAATTGCTAGGGAAAATATTCATTTTCATGAATAAATAACTAACAGTAAATTTCCATAATTTTTCTTTGCACTACTAACTCTGAATTCAGACTTTTGATAACAGTTGATTTTTGTTGCATAGATGGAATAATAATACAGAGAAAAATCTATTTAATACTTTTCATTTTTCAAAATCTATATTAACACTGTTTCAATTTTATTCAGCTCCATCTCTTTTTTGTTCTTGTTATTGTTTTATGTTCTTGGCCCAGATTTCAAAGATAAATACTTTACCCTCAAAATCTGACTTGCTTTTGAAAGGTACACCTTTTGTTAATAAACTCAGCATGAACTGTCATCTATGTATGCTCCTTAATGTACTTCTGTATCCAAAAGCGAGTACCCATGAACAAGATTAACATGCTTTTTTCCTGAAATTGCAATAATATCCTAAAGTTACATAGTAATTCTCTGGATTTCATGACAGAATCTGAAGCGCATATTTCTGTATACCCACAATGCTAAAATAAGGATAATCATACTGGACAGTATAGGTGTCATTTATTTTTACTAATAGCTATTTTATCAGCCTTTTCTGTCTTCTCTTATACTCCTTACATTTCCTCACAGGATGTAAATTAGCTGAAGTGAAAAAGTGTATTAAAACTGATGTAGCGAAAAGTCAAGTTCACTATTGTGAGCACAAGTTCTTATTTCTACCAGCTTTTAACTTTAAATATCAGCTTAGTATAGTTGCCGCTGAATTATTATCCTACCAGTGTAGGTACTGAGTCAACCTCTTAAATTAAACTGAATTGTGTAGTCTTGCACCAATTTTTACTTTTAAATTTAGTGTTACATCATCTTTTTAAGTTTCTCGCACCTAGCGGTCAATGATTATAAGCACATTAAATATGAGCCATCTGTAAACTATGTTCAATAAAAAGGTCTTTTACACCCTTCCTGTAGTATTCATCTTCCATTTTTTGCAAGAAGTTGCAAGATTAACACTTAAGTAGATCTTGTTACAATGTATGATAGATCCCACATTTGGCACCCGAATAAAATCCACACCAATAGCCTAAGACCAACATACCTCTTCACTGGGCCCACTAACACTGTAGACCCCACCGGCTCCAGTAAACCCAATGCAAGGGTTGGGGGTTTTCAGTGAATATAGCATGAGCCTCCATGAAACCTGTAGTGACATTTGATGGGAGAAGATCGGTCACAAATTTTTTGGAACAGCTGGATAACCACTTTTGGCTGTACCCGGTTCTAGAAGTTCAAAGAGAATGATGGTGACTGCCACCCTAATAGGACAGGCTTTGAGCTGGTACAAAAGGATCAGTAAATTTTTAGTGAAAGAAATATGCAGTGAGACATATATGTTTGAAAGATT